ACAAAGCCTTGACTGGGATGATGTAGTTGGGGCTGGTCCTGCTTGGGGCAGGGGGTTGGACTAGATGTGACCTCCTGAGGTCCCTCCCAACTCTCATTTTCTGTGACTAAGGCTAGGTTTGCTGGATGCGTAGGGTTCCCTTTCTGGTGCCTTACCCATGCTGGGGCCATAATCAGCTGGCCCCTGAAAGAGCCATTGTAGGCATGAGTGGTCCCTTCCTGCTGCCTCCTGTAATGCTGCCGCTGTGACTGCTACCCTCCCAGGTTCGGATGGCGCTGAGGAACGCGGAGAAGGAGCTCGAGTCGCACAGCAGGTGGTCCGCCCCCGACGCCTTGCAGAAGTGGTTGCAGCTGACACACGAGGTGGAGGTCCAGTACTACAACATCAAGAAGCAGAATGCAGAGAAGCAGCTGCTGGTGGCCAAGGAAGGGGTGAGCCCCAATCTTTCTGTAGAGGGGGGGAAGGAGCGAGGTGAGGATGTCCGCAGGTCTTGATGGCCCCGTGGACTGGGAACCGGTCTTCCTTTGCCGTTCTCGCCTCACCATCTCTGCGTCCTCCTCTTCCTGCTGCCTTCCACCTGGTGGGCCGTAGTGTAATGTTAGAGATGTGGAGCTGTGTTTGGGCAAGACCTCGCATCGCACCTTGATGGAAGCCTGTGACGACAGCCCTCTGTCGAAACACAGCCCCCAGTTAAGGTTTTTGGCACCGAGGAAGAGCAGATCTGTTGTTTTTTGCTCTGTGCAAATGGGGGCAGCGAGTCACGAGGAGGTGACAGGACTTTTCCAGTGCAGCAAACCTGGGCCAGAGCGGGGATTAGTATTGCAGGGTTTCTGGCTCCAAGCCTTGTGCATGCATGACTAGGCCACATTTGCTCTGTACTGGACAGGGCCAGATGTGCTGGCACCCAGACTTGGGCTGTCATGTGCTACAGGGTGGATCCTACTGGGGATAGAAGCTCTTTCTGGTTTTGGAAGCCTTTCTTGCTCCGGGTGTCACGGGCATAAGGGGCACAGCATTTGGCGCGGGAGGGCTTGCGTCTTTTGCTGCCATGAGTCACTGCTCTGTTTCCAGCTGTTTGAAATCTCCTGAGCCAAGTGAGAGCAGGCGGCTGCAGGGAACAAGTGCAGCGAATGTGCTAGGCTCAGGTTGTGGTACAGCCGCTAGATGACAGGACAAATAGGAATTTGTCTGTCTTACCACAGCTCTTGTCAGGAGCACTTCAGCCTTTCAGCACGTTCCCCCGTGCTGTGTCAGCTGCCGTGTTCACTGCTCTGGCTTGCATTATGGACCTCTCAAGCAAATGTGCTAGACCAGGCAGATGGAAGTTTTGCATGGAGAGACTAGTTTCCAATAAGGTCCCAGCCCCTTTTTTGAGGGAAAGAGTAGTTTCCAGTAGGCCCCCAGCCTCCTTCTCTTGGATAAACTCATACCAGTAAGGCTTTATATCCGAGACGGGAGTCGTTATGCCTGCTGCCATGGCTGGTGCTTTGCGCCACAGACTCTTGAACTTTGGCGACCCAATAAAGGGGCCAAGGAGGGCTGTGGGACCCAGGAGGCACTCCAGATTCTGCTGGCTGACACCACAGCCATAACATGCAGAAAGAAAGCAACCGTTCAAGCCCTGTGCATGTGTGCAAACAGCTGCAACGCTATTTCTGTCTCGCCCCGTCCAGAATACGGCTGCCCTGCAGGAAACACCCGGGCTGATTCTTCCAACGCTCTTTTCTCTGTTCACGTTTCCAGGCTGAAAAAATCAAAAAGAAGCGGAACACTTTGTTTGGCACGTTTCACGTGGCTCACAGCTCGTCCCTTGATGACGTGGATCACAAAATCTTAACTGCGAAGTGAGTGTCTGCTGTGTATCTTCCTGCCAGCTCCTCCTTTCCTTTCCCCCACATGCGGGAAGGTGCAACACATGTGTGTATCCAGCGTGAGTTTCATTTTGTTTGGCTCTTGGAGGCGAGGCGGAGAGGGAACGTAGATGTACAGAGCCTGGATCCCAAAAGAAATCATTAAGTAGCACATGTTCCACTCTAACTGCCCTTGCTCTCTGTTGAGTTTGTTGGCTTTTCCTGGCCTGAGTGCAACGTGATGCTTTATTTGAGACAGTTCTTTATATTTCCCCTTTGACAGACTGGGGGGGATGTGTGTACAAAAGCTAGCTGGTGACCGCTTGTGTCCTCACAGTGCAGAGCTTCAGTCCCAGCCACTTTGAGCTGCTCAAGCTCTCAAGAGGACACTGAAGCATTCAATGAGGCATCAGTTGTAGACGGCTGCAGCTCATTACCATCAGCCATATCCCTGCAAGTGGTTTGAAAGCAGCGCAGGGAAAAGTGTGGGTCAAACCTCCTGACTCCCTGTTTCAGAGCCGGGACATCCCTTATCTCTTGTAATTCCACTGGTCCTTGTATTTTTTTTCCATTTTATCCCCTCTTTGAATCTCGCTTTCAGGCAGGCCTTGAGCGAGGTGACGGCCGCCCTGCGGGAGCGCCTACATCGCTGGCAGCAGATCGAGGTGCTCTGCGGCTTCCAGATTGTCAGCAACCCCGGCATCCATACGCTGAGTGCAGCCCTGAACATCGACCCCAGCTGGATGGGCACGCCCCGGCCTACCCAGGCCCACTTCATCATGACCGATGACGTGGACGATTTGGATGAAGAGATCGTCTCTCCTATGTCCATGCAGTGTATGTATGCCTCATCAGGCGATGGTCACCAGGAAACCCTTTGGTCTACTGCTGCCTTGGGCACTCTGGGATGTGGTAGGGAGGCAGGCAGGGGCAGCTGGCGGGGAACGGTCTAGCTCAATTGGTTGTTGAGCCAGCTCAGACAGCCTTACTCATACTACAGCTGTTACGTCGCCTTAGGCTGAGGACCTCATGGTCAGAAGGCAACTTGACAAAGAGCAAGAGTGAATCCAAATGTACATCCCCCACCCCAGCCAATCAGGCTTTGATCCATGGGCGAGACAGGCCTCAGCCTGAGTTTCCAAGCATCCTGTCATTTGTGGTCCCAGCTTGAGACTCTCAGGTTGGGGCTTTCTGGGTGCTGAGCACCTCGTGGGGAGGCTGGGGTAGGTCTGAGTAGCTCAGCTCACTTGCCTCTGGGTTGGATGGTTTACATTGCCAAGAGAGGTACCCAGCCCCGTTGCCCAGGTAGCCCTAGCATCTATGAATTATGAACTCCTGTTGGACTCCTCAGTCAGCATGCCTGTAGCTCAGGGGTGAGCAGAACGGCAGATCTGGCTGGCGGCTGGACTCCATTTCCCAGCAGCCCCTGCCTGTCTCCATGGAGACCCCGGGAGTGGCAGGGCCATGGCTGTAGGGTGCCTGGGCAGTCTGGCAGTGGCAGCCAGGAGGAGCTGCCATGAAGAGGCTGCTGGGAAATGCAGTCTGCCATGAACCAGACTTTGCCCACCCCTGGTTTATCCCAGCACGGCCCCTCAGCTGGTTTCCATTTTCTGCGGGCACGATCCTGCTCCAGAGGGGAGCACCATGCACTGGCAGATCGCTTCCTCTCCGGCTCATGATGAAAATGCTGTTGGGTGCCAGTGATGATTCCCCTTGTCAATCAACCTTTTCTCTCTTCCTCTGGACCCTGATTGGCTAACCCCAGACGCAGCCTGGCTCTTGGGGCGCAGGTTCAGCGACCGCTCGTCTCTCTCCTTGGAGGACCAGTCCCTCTGGAAATACCCTGGTTTGGTTCTCTTGGTTTTCTTTCTCTCTTCGTCCTACCCTTCAAACTAAAATCACATGCCCATGTTTTCCAACTTTCCGGCACACAAAACTAATTCACGTGCTCCTTGCCTCTGAGTCAGCATCATCCATACTAACCTCTGGGCAGAGTCTGCTGGGACAGAGAAGAATCACCCATTGGCCTTGGACACCTCATGCTGAGGTTTATGCCAAGTTTTGGAAAGTGCCTTTGGTCAAGGCTAAGGTCCGAGTCCCTCGTTCCACCCAGCCAAGAGCTTCTGTGGATCCCTGTGGCAGAGATCGGGGCTTTGATCAGCCAAGGAGCAATTCCTTCCACATTCAGTTCCTAGCACACAGGTCACCTCGCTAGCCTGTCCCCATCCCTCCCCCATCCCCTGGCTCCTGTGGACCTCTGCCTCGAAAATAATCCTCCCTGTCTCCTTGACCGTGGAGGAAAACCTGAGGAAGGGCATCAGCAGCAGCAGTACCCCCTCTTTCAGGGCAGTTCCTCCCAGGGGCCAGGCCAGCGGTGGTCGGCATGGATTGAACTCCTGCATGGCTTTGCTGCCTCTGGTACACAGTCTCCTTGTCCCTGAGACTCCATGGTTCGGCAGAGATGGTGCAGGCAGCTCCGAAGGTTAGGACTCATCTCCAGTTGTCGCTGGCTCTGTTTCCCTTAGCGAGAGCGTGGTTCCAATACAAGACCCCGTCTAGGGGAGGCAGGAAGGGTACAGACTAATATTGCAGAGGGAGATCTCTTAAAATAGCCCACCTGCTCCTGCCTGCCCGCAAAATAGGCAAGATGCAAAGCATCCGGGGCCTCGCTGACTTCTGCGTTTCTCTTCCCATTACAGCAGTTTGCTCCCGTGGCTTCAGTGCTGGACTGTGGGGGTGAAAAGGGGTTAATGCAGCAGTCAGGGGGATTCATGCAGCAGGAGTTGGTGCTTCACATCAAGGCCTGTGGTAGGGATGTTCAGCTGGAATTTACAAAACGCTTTTGCAAGGTGATGAGGTTGCACCAGAGCTACAAGTCCTCCAAGGCCACGTAGCAACAAGAGGGGGAGGCTTGACCTCTGGAGTGTTAACATCCAAGCCCTGTGCTCCCAATAAGAGATTGGTAAACAGTGCCTGAAGCATTGCATTGTGCAGGTACCGAGCTGGTGTATGAAGGGGGTGGTCGCCCCATGGAGGCTGGGAAATGCCTCCATGGAGAAAAGGCCCACAGTCCCCCCAGGTCCTTTGGAGATCTCTGGCATCCCTCTTGCCCCATAAATGCAGCCCTCTGCTCCCACTGCCCATTGGGTTGTGGGCCGAGTGCCTTTGGGGCCATTGCTGAATGTCAGCACAGCCCCCTTGGAGAAGCTTGGGGCTGATGGCCCGAATGGGCCCTTGTTCTGGCATTCAGACTCCCTTCTCCAGCCCCTGTCCAGGAGAGCTTTTGGCAGCCTCGCTGGCCTGACAGGAGCTGCAGATTTATCTTCACGTCAGCTCCGCATGACTTCACTGCGTTGCTTTTCTTTCCACTCAGGGTTCAGCAGGGAAGAAATTCTTTATGCTATAAAGCGGTCCCGTAGAAGGGCTGTTGCTGACAGAGATCAGCAGGAGAGGAGCGAGGGGAAGCCCCTGGAGGATGCTGCATAGTTGACCCTGGCACTGCGAAGGCAGCAGCTTGCTTAGATTATTCCTGCCCTGCGTTTCCCTGGCATGTGATGCATCCCTTAGCTGTGTGAGGCCCTTTCCCCTGGGCAGGGGTTTTTTCACAGCAATACTGCCCTGGTTCTTCACTTCCCGAAAGAGCTCTCCCTGGAATTCATTTCTGAGCTTTTCTCTCTGCTCTTCTTTAACCGTGTTACATGACTTATATGTATCTGCAGCTGCACCCACTGCTGGGGGGGTGGGGGGTTGTCCTGAATTGGTGTCTCGCATCCAAAATGTGGCTCTGGGACAGGGGGGCCCAACCCAGCTTGATCTCAGAGGTGTGTGAATGGAGCTGGGTGGCACCGAGGAGCCTCCATTCCAAAGAACGACCCTGCTCCACAAACCACCAACATCCATGCAGCCACCTCCGCTTGGGCTGAAGAGTTCCCCTGGCTCTTACCCTTGGGTGCAAGGGAGTACAGCCCTGCAGTGTCAGCACTGCCCTGGGAGATCTCCTGGGTTCCCAGTCCTGTTCCCTGGGTTATTTCTGTTTTCCAGCCAGTGACTATATCACGCAACTTGCATAGCATAGACTCAAACCCAGGCCTCCTTCACAGAGGAGGGACCTCAGGGGCCACCTGATCCAGCCTCAGGTGGTAACATGAGGCTGCAGAGGGATGCTCCCTCTCACTCTCTCCCTGCCTACTGCATAGGGATCTGGGACACTAGGACCCAGGCAAATGGACCCCCTCTAGATGCTTAGACTATAGGCAAGGGGTGCCTCTGAGACCAAACTGGATTGGGCCCTGAGTGTAGCCATGGTCGCCCTTGTCTGCAGTGTGGGGACCCAGGCGGTGGAACCCGTAGGTCCCAGCACATCCTGATGAATGTGGTCTGAGCAGCTTTGCAGATGCTTTTAGGCTCTGCAAAATACATCTGGCTCCTCTCTGAAGAATGTGCTCAGGTCAAGCAGAAGTTTGAGGCTTGATGCAGAGGTTGCTGGCTGAGGTGCTTTTACCTCCTAGACCCATTGTGGTTCTCTAGCCTGATCTGTGAACCCACCAGTAACAATGCTCAAGAGGGAGACAACTGAGCTTGGCCCTCAGATCCCAGGAGTAATTTGCAATTAGCTGCCACAAGCTGAGCACTTTTGGGTCAGGCAGTTTATTGGAAAACCAGCAAATGTGTTCATTTCTCGGAACATTGTAGATGTATAAGATGGTGAAAACTGGTAACCATCCCTATTAACCTTGGCTGAACCAACTTATGCATCTGCACTGGTCTTCCCAACCCTCCAGTCCTGCAGACAAAGGTACGTGGCAAACAAAATCACCAAATGCCTGCATCTTAATTGAAGCTTTCCCCATGCTCGAGTCCTAGGGGGAAGTACTTCACCATCAAGGCACTCCGGGGTATGTTGTGGGATACGCCTGGTGTGGTCCCATGGAGCCAACAGGGTAGGGGTAAAAGTCGTGTGAGTGAGGTCCAATTCTGAGTCCCCGCTCCAGTCTCATCTCTGGTAGGAGTATGTGTTAAGTCAGGGCAGGATCAGAAGCAGTTGACTTCTGGCAAGAACATCAAGCCTCACTCCCCACGGGCAAGGTCATTAATCTAGCACATCAAACCGGAGCCAAGATTTACG